CATAGTAGTAGCTGCGGATAGTGCTGTTAAGTGATCCCTAAGGAACTGCTGGTCCTTCTTCTGCATGAGGAGGGCCGAGTAAATCGTTCTATCATCCTCAGATGTAGAGTCTCTGAACTTCGTGAGGAGAGTTTCGTTGACTGTTCTTGATCTGTTCAACCCAAAAAACATCCTCCTTGATATGGTTTCCATCTGGGCTAGCTTGCGGTCATCTATTCTGTAAGTCTTGGACTTGGCATCGCTAATCATCTTATAGTTATCATCGATATCTTGAGCCTTGTAAAAAGAGTCCATGTTGTGACCTGCAAACTTATTAGCGTTGAAATGCGGCACATGAGGTGTCTGTGATTTCGTGGCTTTATTAAAGGCTGTATCCAGATTAGCTGGCACCGCTGCTATCGGGTCAATCGGAGGTAAGGTGATGGTGTCAGCATCGTCTTCCTTCATAAGATATGTGTGGGCTGAGTTCTCGTTCTTAGACGGCGAGGAAAGTTCCAGACTATTCACCATCCAATATCTTATTTCTGCGTCGGAAAATAAGATACCATCTTCATCTTCAGACATCGGGTCACAGATAATGTGTTGATGCTCCTCCGATAGTGACTGAGGTGGAGTCCTTGATGATCTGTACGTGGATCGACAAGGTGATCGATGAGGGGATCGATAAGGAGATAGGCGAGTGGAATGATGTGGTGAACGGACTGACGAGTGGCGTCTATAAGGTAACCTTCGCGGAGACTTCCTTGGCGAACGCTGGTAGCTTGGCGAAGCTCTCGGTGATTCTCTTAAAGATCTTCTAGATGAGGATGACTTGGAGCCACTTAACCTTCGTGAAGGTTGAAAGTCTGAGTCGGAATCATGGGATGAGAGGATCTTGCTTCGCGAACGTCCTCTCTCATCAAGGTCCGACGTAGGTGATACAGACATCCTCCGTGAAGCCTTCCGTGACTGCTTAGGATCGGGGTCCTTCGTGCAGGCGGGCTGGGTCGCCCTTCGCGGAGGCTTAGAGACGGGCTGGGTCGCCCTTCGTGGAGGCGCGTTAGCGGGCTGGGTCGCCCTACGCGGAGACGTCCAAACGGGCTGGGTCGCCCTACACGGAGGTATGGGGGTGGGCTGGGTTGCCCGTGGCTCTAAAGGCCTCCGAAGACCGTAGCGATCTTCCATCATTTTGATGATGTGGTTCATCAGGTCGTCTGGGACGGTCTGCGCTGAAGTAGTTGCTGCCTTCTCTACGCTGGTAGCGACGGGACCCTCAGGATGATTCTCTGACATCACTGTAGGTGCCTCAGCCTGCGTGCTAATTTGCGCTGAAGTTGCCGACACTGGCCCGCTTCTTCCGCCGTACATCTGGAATGATGATCGGATCATCATCATCAAACAGGCCTAACTCTGCAACGGGAACAATCTCGGCTGAGAAAGTACTGCTGGACTCCGATGATTTCCCCTGCGACGTGGATGTAGCCCTGGGGGTGCGGAGTCTGCGTTGTGACGACGTGGAAGCCCTCCTAGTCTTTGGCTGCGACGACGGGATGTCTGGGGATGCAGGTCGCTTCTTGGAGGTAGCGGACTGCGTCCCACGCCTCTCCTCCGAGGGTAACTCTAACGGAACACCAGATGGGAGGGGGTCGTCCGACAACAGTTGACAGGGTAAGGGCTCTGGTGTATTAGCCATGGCTAAAATGCGTTTACGTGACCTATCTGCTGCGCGTCTCAAGACGCATAATAAATATTTATCAAAGGCAGAATTGGATAATTTAATACAATAATTGCAACGTGAAACAGTAGAGCATGGCGTAGTACAACTAGGGCATATTAAATGCGGGTCAGCAGCAGAAAAACGTAATTTACAAATCGTGCAGATTTTCATCAATGCAATCTATCTGAACAAACACGGAGTCCCGTGAATAAACAGTAGAAACACAAATAAATATCAATGCATTATGTTGAAGGATACTAGCTACACCTCTATAGAAGTCTATGAGAGGTAATTAACTAAGAATAAACAAAGGATATAGTGTGTAGGGAGACACAGGCGCTCTCACATCCTGCTCACTGGGCGAAGAAGGAGAGAGTGAAGCATGTGGCGGGAAGTGGCGCCCTCGTTCCCGCGCAAAAGAGTGGGAGAGAGATAACTCTTGGTGAGTACTAATTAGTGATTTTACATTGAAGGGAGCTTCAATTGGGAGATACAAGTGTTCCACTGTGTTCGCAAGAAGAAGAAGACAAGCAAAAGAGCATGAGTCAGGATAAGGAAACATTTAGGTATTTTACAAGAAGGTAAGATAAAAGTACTTACTATCCTATACAGTGAATTCAATAAAGTTATTGGTCTCCAGTTTTTTAAAAGGGTTCTGTTTTTATTTGGCTTAGGTATACATGTAATGACACCTCTTTCATTGCAAAAGACATTTGATTCTTATCAAAAATATCTTTAATAAATCTATATTTTTAAATGCCAATGATATTTCTTCCATGTCAATGTCTTTTTCCAATTCTCTAAGATGAGCTGTTTCGGAGCTGAATACCCCTTATTCCTCCTCTTTAATATGTTGCAGTTCTAGTTTATGTTTAACAAGTTCAGAGGATAAATTTTCATCTTTTTTTTTGAAAGTCCTTTCTTATTGAATCTTCATAATCTTTAATTTTAGTTTCTAATTCTGAGCTTTTATCTCTGGTTTTGCTATTTAGAAAGGTTGGAAATGAAATTGATTTTCCCCTAACTTTCATAAGAAAAGTTTCTAAAAATAAACTACCATCAATCTTAGTTTTATATTAAGGTCAGTAGCATTTTCATAATATATACTTCATATCAGAGTATTCTTCAATTGTATCCTTGAGTATGGATCTAGCAAGTTCACTATATTCAGGTTGTAACAATTAAGAAGTATTCAATTTCCAATGTCCTCGCCCTCTTTCTTGGTTAATAGTATTTGAAAATGTGTAGGTAATAGCTGAGTGGTCCGTTTTGTAGCCTGGTAGAATATCGGCTTTATAAAATAGTGTGTTCACCAAGCACTGGTAGTCACAATGGCTAACCTGCAGAGGGCAGAGTTCATCTTGTCTCAGAGAGGAGGAAGACAGATACTACATGATGGCCACAAGTTTTGACTGAATGTTGTGAGACAAGTCGCCACACACTGGAAGTGCCTCATAGATCAATATAAGCGTAAATGCAGTACAACTGGCGACCACGTATCTTCAGTCACAGAACACAACCACCCACCTCTGGTGAATGAGGAAGAGACCAGAGTCCTCACAGAATGAGACAATTTAACGTGTTCTTGATGAGATACAGCTCATCCAACAGATCTACAATGAAGATCTCAATACAAACTTCTAGGTTTCTATTGCTTACAACAGGATGCTAATCTTCAGAACAACAGAGATGATGGATATCTTTACTGAGGCCGAAACTTGACATGGATGGAACATTTATGAGTGCCCTAGTCTCTGGATCCAAGTGTAGGATGTGCACGGCCTTGTACAGGACCAGATGTATCCATTTCCCTTCTCCCTACTTCCCAGCAGAAAATGGACATCCACACAACTCAACTTTCTCAAAACTGATGTGATATGATGTGATGCATGTGTACATGATAGAAAAATGATCATTTAATTGAGAACAACCCTCTCACACCGACCTGCTTGACAACACACCCACCAGTTTGCCCTCACACAGACCTGCTTGACAACACACCCACCAGTTTGCCCTAACACAGACCTGCTTGACAACACACCCACCAGTTTGCCCTCACACCGACCCGCTTGACAACACACCCAACAGTTTGCCCTCACACAGACCTGCTTGACAACACACCCACCAGTTTGCCCTCACACCGACCTGCTTGACAACACACCCACCAGTTTGCCCTCACACAGACCTGCTTGACAACACACCCACCAGTTTGCCCTCACACAGACCTGCTTGACAACACACCCACCAGTTTGCCCTCACACAGACCTGCTTGACAACACACCCACCAGTTTGCCCTCACAGTCCTGCTTGACAACACACCCACCAGTTTGCCCTCACAAAGACCTGCTTGACAACACACCCACCAGTTTGCCCTCACACAGACCTGCTTGACAACACACCCACCAGTTTGTCCTCACACCAAACTTCTTGACAACAGACCCACCAGTTTGCCCTCACACAGACCCGCTTGACAAAACACCCACCAGTTTGCCCTCACACCGACCTGCTTGACAACACACCCACCAGTTTGCCCTCACACCGACCTGCTTGACAACACACCCACCAGTTTGCCCTCACACAGACCCGCTTGACAACACACCCACCCGTTTGCCCTCACACCGTCCTGCTTGACAACACACCCACCAGTTTGCCCTCACACCGACCTGCTTGACAACACACCCACCAGTTTGCCCTCACACAGACCTGCTTGACAACACACCCACCAGTTTGTCCTCACACCAAACTTCTTGACAACAGACCCACCAGTTTGCCCTCACACCGACCCGCTTGACAACACACCCACCAGTTTGCCCTCACACCGACCTGCTTGACAACACACCCACCAGTTTGCCTCACACTCCGACCAGCTTGACAAAACACCCACCAGTTTGCCCTCACACCAAACTTCTTGACAACAGACCCACCAGTTTGCCCTCACACCGACCCGCTTAACAAAACACCCACCAGTTTGCCCTCACACAGACCTGCTTGACAACACACCCACCAGTTTGCCCTCACACCGACCCGCTTGACAACACACCCACCAGTTTGCCCTCACACCGTCCTGCTTGACAACACACCCACCAGTTTGCCCTCACACAGACCTGCTTGACAACACACCCACCAGTTTGCCCTCACACAGACCTGCTTGACAACACACCCACCAGTTTGTCCTCACACCAAACTTCTTGACAACAGACCCACCAGTTTGCCCTCACACCGACCCGCTTGACAAAACACCCACCAGTTTGCCCTCACACCGACCTGTCTGAAAACACACCCACCAGTTTGCCCTCACACCGACCTGTTTGCCAGTCCACTCTTCTCCGTAGGTAGTCACAGTATGCTGTCCACAGCAACAAATAGTCTGATCCAGTGGCCATTCCAGATGTGAGGGCTCTGTCAAAGGTGCCTGTTGAAAGAAAATGACAAGATGTGGTAATTCCTGTACAGGGAATCGTGGCACTGAGGTTTAACCCTGGATCACAAAGACAAGGGGAGGTAATTATTGTACAAGGAATCCTAGCACTGAGGTTTAACCCTGGAACACAAAGACAAGGGGAGGTAATTATTGTACAAGGAATCCTAGCACTGAGGTTTAACCCTGGAACACAAAGACAAGGGGAGGTAATTATTGTACAAGGAATCCTAGCACTGAGGTTTAACCCTGGAACACAAAAGACAAGGGAGGTAATTATTGTACAAGGAATCCTAGCACTGAGGTTTAACCCTGGAACACAAAGACAAGGGGAGGTAATTATTGTACAAGGAATCCTAGCACTGAGGTTTAACCCTGGAACACAAAGACAAGGGGAGGTAATTATTGTACAAGGAATCCTAGCACTGAGGTTTAACCCTGGATCACAAAGACAAGGGGAGGTAATTATTGTACAAGGAATCCTAGCACTGAGGTTTAACCCTGGATCACAAAGACAAGGGGAGGTAATTATTGTACAAGGAATCCTAGCACTGAGGTTTAACCCTGGATCACAAAGACAAGGGAGGTAATTATTGTACAAGGAATCCTAGCACTGAGGTTTAACCCTGGATCACTTAAGACAAGGGGAGGTAATTATTGTACAAGGAATCCTAGCACTGAGGTTTAACCCTGGATCACAAAGACAAGGGAGGTAATTATTGTACAAGGAATCCTAGCACTGAGGTTTAACCCTGGATCACAAAGACAAGGGAGGTAATTATTGTAAAGGAATCCTAGCACTGAGGTTTAACCCTGGAACACAAAGACAAGGGAGGTAATTATTGTACAAGGAATCCTAGCACTGAGGTTTAACCCTGGATCACAAAGACAAGGGGAGGTAATTATTGTACAAGGAATCCTAGCACTGAGGTTTAACCCTGGATCACAAAGACAAGGGGAGGTAATTATTGTACAAGGAATCCTAGCACTGAGGTTTAACCCTGGAACACAAAGACAAGGGAGGTTATTATTGTACAAGGAATCCTAGCACTGAGGTTTAACCCTGGAACACGGCTAAGACAAGGGGAGGTAATTATTGTACAAGGAATCCTAGCACTGAGGTTTAACCCTGGATCACAAAGACAAGGGGAGGTAATTATTGTACAAGGAATCCTAGCACTGAGGTTTAACCCTGGAACACAAAGACAAGGGGAGGTAATTATTGTACAAGGAATCCTAGCACTGAGGTTTAACCCTGGAACACACAAGACAAGGGAGGTAATTATTGTACAAGGAATCCTAGCACTGAGGTTTAACCCTGGAACACAAAGACAAGGGGAGGTAATTATTGTACAAGGAATCCTAGCACTGAGGTTTAACCCTGGAACACAAAGACAAGGGGAGGTAATTATTGTACAAGGAATCCTAGCACTGAGGTTTAACCCTGGAACACAAAGACAAGGGGAGGTAATTATTGTACAAGGAATCCTAGCACTGAGGTTTAACCCTGGAACACAAAGACAAGGGGAGGTAATTATTGTACAAGGAATCCTAGCACTGAGGTTTAACCCTGGAACACTAAGACAAGGGAGGTAATTATTGTACAAGGAATCCTAGCACTGAGGTTTAACCCTGGAACACAAAGACAAGGGAGGTAATTATTGTACAAGGAATCCTAGCACTGAGGTTTAACCCTGGATCACAAAGACAAGGGGAGGTAATTATTGTACAAGGAATCCTAGCACTGAGGTTTAACCCTGGATCACAAAGACAAGGGGAGGTAATTATTGTACAAGGAATCCTAGCACTGAGGTTTAACCCTGGAACACAAAGAGACAAGGGGAGGTAATTATTGTACAAGGAATCCTAGCACTGAGGTTTAACCCTGGATCACAAAGACAAGGAGGTAATTATTGTACAAGGAATCCTAGCACTGAGGTTTAACCCTGGAACACGAAGACAAGGGGAGGTAATTATTGTACAAGGAATCCTAGCACTGAGGTTTAACCCTGGATCACAAAGACAAGGGGAGGTAATTATTGTACAAGGAATCCTAGCACTGAGGTTTAACCCTGGAACACAAAGACAAGGGGAGGTAATTATTGTACAAGGAATCCTAGCACTGAGGTTTAACCCTGGATCACAAAGACGTGGGGTGGTAACAAGGGGACATAACAGTATGAAATAACAGGAAAGGTCACACCATGAAGAGTACAACCTCCTAACAAGCTATTATTATATAGAGTAATTGAGTGGGCGAGTTTGGTTTTATGCCGCTATTAGCAATATTCCAGCAATATGATGACAGGGGACACCAGAAATGGGTCTTACACATTGTATCCATGTGGGGAATCGGACCCAGAGATTCAGCATGACAAACAAATGCTTTGACCTCTAGGCTACCCCTACAGCCTCTCTTAAATAGAAGTATAAAGTAACAATCCAAACATTGCTCCCTATCAGTGCTAGGTTGCTAGCTCTCACTGTACCTTTCACAGTGTCAAAGATCTCTCCATGTCTCTCCTGAGCCAGCAGATACCCCTGCCACACCTGTGACGACCAAGGACAGTTGCGCACAGCTCTCTCGTACACAGGACACACCAGGGAGTGGATCCTCAGCTTGTAAACCTGGAAAGGATATCGTAAGGGGACTGCACTTGTCTTGTAAACCTAGTGTACTGGCAGAATGAGAACACTGCACTTACTTTGTTAATGATATCAGGTCAGCAACTTACCAGATGTGTGTGATATCAGATCAACGACTTACCAGATGTGTTTGATATCAGGTCAGTGGCTTACCACATGTCTGATGATATCAGGTCAGTGACTTACCAGACGTGCGATGATATCAGGTGACTTACCAGACGTGTGATGATATCAGGTCAGCGACTTACCAGGCGGTGATGATATCAGGTCAGTGACTTACCTGATGATATCAGGTCAGTGACTTCAGTCGGTGACTTACCAGGCGACATGTGATGATATCACGACGTGTGATGATATCAGGTCAGTGACCTGGCGGTGATGATATCAGGTCAGCGACATGTTACAGGTCAGTGACTTTACAGACGGGTGATGATATCAGGTCAGTGACTTACCTGACATGTGATGATATCAGGTGTCAGGATATCAGGTGACTTACCAGACGGGTGATTATCAGGTCGGTGACTTACCTGACATGTGATGATATCAGGTCAGTGACTTACCAGGCGGGTGATGATATCAGGTCAACGACTTACCTGACAGGTCAGCGACTTACAGGTCTGACCATGTGATGATATCAGGGTCATGTGATGATACAGGTTGACCTGACGTGTGTGATGATATCAGGTCAACGTGATGATATCAGGTCAGTGACTTACCTGACGGTGATGATATCAGGTCAGTGACTTACCTGGCGTGATGATGATATCAGGTCAGTGACTTACCTGACGGTGTGATATCAGGACATGTGATGATATCAGGTCAGTGACATGTGATTATCAGGTCAGTGACTTACCTGACGTGTGATGATATCAGGTCAGTGACTTACCTGACGTGTGATGATATCAGGTCAGTGACTTACCAGACGGGTGATGATATCAGGTCAACGACTTACCTGACATGTGATGATATCAGGTCAGTGACTTACCCTGGTCAGTGACTTGTGGCGATGTGATGATATCAGGTCAGCGACTTACCTGGCGGGTGATGATATCAGGTCAGCGACTTACCTGTGATGATATCAGGTCAGTGACTTACCAGGCGTGATGATGATATCAGGTCAGTGTGACGGGTGATGATATTAGGTCGTGTGATGATATCAGGTCAGTGACTTACCAGGCGTGTGATGATGATCAGGATACTTACCAGGATATCAGGTCAGTGACTTACCAGACGTGTGATGATATCAGGTCAGTGACTTACCAGACATGTGATGATATCAGGTCAACGACTTACCTGACATGTGATGATATTAGGTCAGCGACTTACCTGACATGTGATGATATTAGGTCAGTGACTTACCAGACGTGTGATGATATCAGGTCAGTGACTTACCTGACATGTGATGATATCAGGTCAGCGACTTACCTGACATGTGATGATATTAGGTCAACGACTTACCTGACGTGTGATGATATCAGGTCAACGACTTACCAGACGGGTGATGATATCAGGTCAGTGACTTTTTTTTTTCCAAGTCAAAGTCTTTTTATTGTCTATAGGCCACAGGCCGTACACAACATATATACAATTTTCACATACATTTACACATGTATACAATAACAAAGGTTGAGTTTACAACACATATATATAATGTCATAGTACATGGGGAAATCCTACAAAAATATATATCTTACTGAATTGGGAGGTATTTTGATGCTCTAAGTTCATATGCATGGTATAAATATGTGCATTATTTTCTAGAAGTGTTTCGTTATTAGTAGTTTTTTTGTTTTTTTTGTTTTGTTTTTCCATCATAAGTTGTATATAATGTCATATCTGATATATCATAAGTATATAGTATTACATCCCATATGTCAAGTTGTAAATAGCATCATATATGAACATATCATATTGTTTATAGCACCACATCTGACCTATCAAGCTGTATATTGTGTCACATCCAACATATCATGTTGTATATTGCATGCACATTCAACATATTTTGTTGTACACGGTGCCACATCTGACATACCACGTTGTATATAGCGCCACATCTGACATATCATACTGTATATAGTGCAACACCCAACATAGCATATTGTATATAGTGTCACGGCCAATCTATCGTGTTGTACATAGTGTATTATCTGATATACATTGTAAATATGTCTTATCTAACATGTGTTGTATATAGTGCCACAATTATTTTGACATGTCATGCTGTGTCTTGTGTCACATCCAATGTGTTGTGTTATATATTGAGCAACATCCGGCTTATTGTGTTGTATATTGTGTCTTATATCCAACCTATAATATGTGTTCCCCAAAGTTACACCAGTGCACCAACTAGTCAATATATAACTAAAACAAAGATAATTTTTCAAAAGGGGAAACAGATCAAGATTTTACAAAAGAAGCGGTTGCTGCATACACAGGTCAGGTTTGAAATACTGGGAATAATGGATGCCATTTATTAGCAAATTCCTTCATTTTATTCTTCCTTTTGGCAATGAAGCTTTCAACAGAAAAAATATCTTTTGAAGTCTTTATAAAGTTATCGCATTTTGGAATATTGTTTTCAAAGAAGAGACATAGATCTGTCTTTTGCTGAAGCGATTATATGATTAAGTAATGGGTTTTACTTAAGGAGCCAAAATACACCAAATATTTTGTCAAATTGACTTTTGTATCAAATAAGTGTTAATCCAAATTTGAAGATCCTTCCAAAACTTCTTAGTTTCACTACATTCCCAGTAAACATGGCACAAGTTTTCATCTTCATCTTTACAAAAGCTGCATGAAGCTCTGGATAAGGTTCATTTTAAAAGTTCCTTTTGGTATAGATAATACCGTGTAAAATTTATATTGGAACTCTAAGAGTTTTACATCATTAATGTCTTGTCTGTAAGACTTGAAAATCATTGGCCAATCAAAGTCAGTATCTTCAAACACATTCTCCCATTTATGACACATATGTGGGTTATTATTGTTAAATAACAATATATCATAAAATAATCTTGATCCTTGTAATGATTTCATAAAAAAAATTTGATAGGAGTTAAGATTCATGTCATAGTTATTTATACACCTGTGATTTGTTATTGTATTTTTCCATGATTCAGGTATATTATTTAGAACATATCTATGATCTAATTCTGTCCCTTTTATTGCATATTTACTTTTTAAAGATTCAAAAGACATCAAACCTTCTTCATCACACGTCTTTGATGGTTAATAGTCCCTTATTTGCCCAATGACTGATATAATGATTTTGGTATTTAAAATTATGATTAAACCATAATGGCTGTGCTAAAATTTCATCAATGTTGTTTTCCTCTATTGTAATGTTAGTACAATACATGTTCCATGCTTTTAAAACATCTTTCCAATATGGATTATGAATATCAGCAATATTATAGAAATTAGCACCAAATTTCATGATATCATGTAATGGAAAATTGCATGGATTACATATTGATGATTTTCTTAAATAAAGTCTCAAAGTGGATAGTTTCAAGGCATTGATAAAGGTTTTTATGTCGATCATTCTTGAACCCCCATGTATATAATCTTTTTTCAAGGTACTTCTCTTAATTTTGTCAGTTTTGTCAGTCCAGATGAATTTGAAAAATATTTTATCAAGGGAGGTGACAAAATCTTGGGGTGGGTTTGGTAAAGTATTGAAAATATGAACTTATTTTGACATAGCTAGTGTCTTGATAACAGTGATTTTGCCGATTAATGTTAAATGTCTTTTTCTCCACACTGCCAATAGTCTGTTAATTTCCTCTAGTTTTTTCTTTGTATTGATGACCCATAGATCCTTCAGTTCAGCATTAAGTATAATTGCCAGAACAACAAATTCATTTTTTTGCCATTCAATATTCAAATCCTGACATAGTTTATCACCACAACCTGCTTTAGATCCAATCCAGATAGCTTTAGTCTTATCAATATATATTTTTAGTCCTGACATCCTATAGAAAGTATTAATTGCATCAACAGCAGAATATAGACATTTTTCTGTACCATCTAAAAACAACTCAGTATCATCTGCATATTGTCCTAATTTATACTCTGTATCATCAATTACTATACCTTTGATACTTTCATTTTGTCTTATCATGCATCCAAGGATTTCAGCTACAAAAAGGAAAAGATATGGTGATAACGGATCCCCTTGTCTACAGCCCCGTTCATTTGAAAAGAATTCTGAGAGATGTCCATTTTGAATAACACAAGAAGTTGTATTATAGGTTAGGATATTTATCCACCTAATAATTTGGGGACCAAAACCAAACTTTTTTAATACCAAATTTATAAAATCTTTAGAGACACATTCTTTAGAGGTCAGTGACTTACCAGGTGTGAGATGATATCAGGTCAGTGACTTACCAGACGGGTGATGATATCAGGTCAGTGACTTACCAGACGTGTGATGATATCAGGTCAATGACTTACCTGACTAGTGATGATATCAGGTCAGTGACTTACCAGGTGTGTGATATCAGGTCAGTGTCTTACCAGGTGTGTGATGGTATCAGATCATTGACTTACCAGGTACTTTGTATACTGAAGCCACAGGTCTTGATTAAGACAGTTGTCCTGAAGTGCTCTCTCAAACACACACTGTATCCTGGCTGGGTCATCATTAGACAGTTCATGCTCAATCAGAGCTTGATACTCATTTAACCTTGGAGGGTCTGCAGACAGCTGTAATAGAACAATCTTCACAATAAAATTATCTTCATGCCACATAATAATGAATTTTCTGAATAAAATTGATATTTGATACTTATCCTGACTCATGCTTATTGCTTGTCTCCCTTTCCTTCCGAATGCTAGTGGAACACTTGAATCCCCTTTTGAAGCTCCCTTCAAAAAAGCGGACATAAAATCACTTACCAGGAGTCATCTCCCTTCCCCAGGTTTTGGCGGGAAACGGCACCACCTGTCACCATGCTCCTCACTCTCTCCGTAATACATACATAGCCCGACACACGGACTTACAGGGAAATCCAGAGTGCCTTGAGGGGAGGTTGGGAGGGCTCACCTCATGAGTCAGGATAAGTATAAAATATCAATTTTATTCAGAAAATTACATATTTTTCCTTATCCTGACTCATGCTTATTGCTTGTAGAATCCGACGGAATTGGTGGTGGGTCAAGCCACTTCTGGATTCCTACTGATGAATTTACATCCTATATACCCCCCATGGGAACTTCTGATGGCACTGCTGCTGCTGCTGATCCTTACTTCCATCTTTTTCTGATGAGTTTGGAGGGACCACAACTTGTCAGATCTGCTGGAACGTTTCTTCTGCGGACATTATGTGTGGATTTATGCAACTCCATCTCTTGATGCTTGCATCAAGTGGAGGAGCAATCCTTCTTTGTGTACGAGTAATTGTTTTACAAGTACAGGGTTTATCATTCATGCTGGTCTGTCCTAGACGTGCGCATGGACTCTAAAGCTCTCCAGAACGTTGGCTTTGCAAGTCACGTGATAAAGGGGTGAGATCCTTCTCAGCGCCTTTGTGGAACCGTCAGTTGTGTTACCACAAGAGGTCCAATTGGTGAATTCCGGAGACGTCTTCGGAAACGATGTCTCTGAAATAGTGGTTGGCAAACACTGTCTCCGACTTCCAAAAGCAGCCTTCCATTAAAGTAGATATTGAGCAGTTTCCATGTAAGGCGAGCGTAGATGCTAATGCTCTGACTTCAAGAGGATTGTAGACTCGTGGAGGCTCAAGTCCTGCTGCCTTGTAGGCTCTAAGGATGATTGCGCTCTCATCCAGAATGATATCGTAGTGCGTGAGATCTCTGTGGGTGTCGCCGCCGATATAGGGATGAAAAGGCGTTTTAATTTTCGTCTCCTGTTTTTAGATCTTTGTAAAAAGATTTTCAGTGCTCTGACTGGGCATAAGGATAGGTCCTGGATATCCTGTGGCCCAGGGATTGATGATAATGCTGGGACGTGGGACTGTCTGTCGAGTTGACCTGGCAGTTGATTCTTAGCTATGAAGTCCCATCTCAATCCCAGATGAACGATGTTGTGATGTGCATCAAACGTATATGTTCAAAGTCTAGAGCATGTATATCTGACATCCGTGCTGCTGTTGCCAAAGTGATCAGGAAGAGTTTCCTGTGTAAGAAACTCATAGGATGTCCTGTCTAGTGGTTCATAAGCATCACTGGTGAGAAGCTGTAGAACTACGTTAAGATCCCAAGCAGGCGCTTTAAACTTCCTTTGTTGATCTTCCAATTTGAAGGATCGTAGTAAGGCCAGTATTTCTGGTACTTTAGTCAGTTTAACACCTGATTTCCAGGTGATTACTGAGCTGAGGGCAGCTAGGTATGTAGATAGCGTTGAACCTTTTAATTGTATTATTTGTCTGAGATGACAAAGATATTCCGCCACTTGAGGATGAGTTTTTTTCATCGCTGTGAAGCCTTTTCTCAAGGCGTATTTCTCAAAACTCTGACACTTGTCGTTATACAAGTTACGGGTAGATTTGCGTAAAGCTAGTGCAACTGCTTTCGCTGCTCTGGCGGAGCATTCTCCTTTCGTCAAGCAAGTCTTGATACGCTGTGTGTAGCTGGCACACTGTGGGGTTCCCGTGTGCTTGCTTGGTGTGCGGATGTATCAGCAGGTTCGGCCACTCTGAGAGTTGCAGTTTTGGACTTCCAAATTCTTGTGTGAGAATAGGAACCCACATTCTCGCTGGCCAGTAAGGCGCGATCAAATCAGTTGCAGCTTCCTCGTCTGCTTGATTTTCTGCAACACCTGTGGTATTAGAGCTGGAGGAGGAAACGCCTAAGCGTTTAGTCCTACCCCGGAGATGCTTGGAACATCTGTTGCCCATGCTTGTGGATCGAGAATCGGAGAGACGAATGTTGGTAGCTGTTTGTTGAATTTGGTTGCAAACAGGTCTATAAGCGGAAATCTATTGTCTGTAGTATGATGTATCTAAAGGCTTCTGGATGTAACATCCATTACGTCGGGGATGGTTGTGTTAGACGAGATAGGTGGTCTGCTATCACAATCTTGGCTCCAAGAATGTGGCATGCTCTTATGTAGATGTTCAAGTCATCTATTATGCTGAACAGATGAAAGCTGAGGTCTAGTAGATATCTTGACCTTGTTGATCCTTGTTTGTTGATGTAGAACACCACTGTGTCCGTGTGGATCATCAGTTGTGCATTCCTTAGTATGTTGGACCAATGTAGTAAGGCCTTTACTACTGCTTTCATCTCAAGCATGTTGATATGCAGATTGCTCCTGACTCAGCCATTTCCCTGCTGCCACTTCTTTATCGAGGTGAGCTTCCCAGCCTTGAAGTGATGCATCCACGTAGAGATAAGTGTTGCACTCCGCTCTGATAAGTAGATTCCTCCGCAAATATTCGACTTCCGAGTCCACCATAGAAAATATGGTTTCAATCCATCCAGTAGTCCGAAGGAGTTCAGACTATTGAAACGGGCGTTCACGAACACCTGTAGTGGGCGCAATTGTAGTCTTCCTCTGTGAGTCATGTCTTGTGCTGACGTGAGAAGACTGAGTAGGTTCTGTCAACTTCGTAGTGGTAACGGAGAGAGTAGTGCTTGAGATACGATGACTTGTATCTAGACCCAACGATCCTCTGAGACGACCTTGTCATTCTGTAGTGAGATGAAACATCTTCCCAGAATCTGCTCATGTTCTATGTTGTAAGTAAGTAGACAGTGGAACCCTTGCCATGTCCGTAAAGGAAGCGAAACAACGTCCGGATCTGGGACTGCCATCGTTGTGAAGTCTATATATAGTAGACTGGCTGCCGCGAGCAAAATTCGTCAAACGTATGTTTTTGCAATTCGCCGGTTTTCAATCTGCTGACATGGAAGGTCTCTAAATCCCGTAAGACAGTCAAATCACGCTGTACCCTGCTAACTGGACTGTAAATGGAGTCCTCCTCCCACGTTGAAATGTTGTTTACAATCTGTACACAACTTCCTGACACGTGAGCGATGTCAGACTTCTGCGCAGGGCGTTGTCTCTCATGGACCAATCAAAATGCAGCAATTTGAATCCTTTCAGATTCCCGCGATGTGAGGTCGCAGGAAAAAGAAAAAAGATCCTTGTAAAATCTTGTGCAGTCGTTGAATATTCATCAACACTCGGCCTTGTCCGTAACCTCCCCCGAAGTTACACGAGTGACCACGTGTATAGAGGGCTGAATGGTAAACGCGCAAAAGATTCCGCCGCGTGATACAGATGTAGGTAGACTGACTGCCTGGCTGCTGTGACTGTTCCTTCATTCCTGAAGATAATGCAGTTGTCATCTTATACAGATGATCAGTTGAAATTCCATACTTGCTTAACGCTGTTACTTGTAGACTGTATTCATCGATCTTAATGAAGTGTCGTAAAAAAAAACACACCCTTTGTGTTGAATACACAAAGGTTTTTGTAGAGTTGATACTTATAACTTCAGTGTAAGTTCTACCCCGGTAGTCGTTGATGATCTTGTAGTTCACATCAATCTCTGAAGCCTTCATGAAGGGTTCCATGTGGAGTAGTGGGAATTCCCTGGCTTGGACGTCGGGGATATGTTGACTGTGGAACTTCATAGCCTTACCAAGGCTGCGCTGACATTGTCCGGTATTATCTATCAAGTCGTTATCTCTGATCCGCGACGACGTGAGTGCCTGAAGATTTGCACGCAGGTGAATGATCTGTATATGGACATAAGTCCCTCCTGGATTCTTAAGAAACATCTTTATCCTTCATGAATGTGTAGGTTCTCAGCGTCGAGGAGTGTTTTTGTGCAGTTAATCCCGCTACCCTCTTCTGATGTAGATATATATTTTTGAAGATCCTGAATCCTTTCTGGAGATCAGTCTGAAGATCTGCCTGAAGACCTGCCTGAAGATCTGCATGATCGAGATGAGGGTCTCGTTGATAGCTCTTGACCTGGCTAGGCCGAAGAAGGTTCGTCTGGTTACTGTGTCTAACTGTGAGACAGGGTCGAAAGGTGGAATCGTGAGTGTGTCTATATCATCATTCAACATCAAGTACGAGAGTGCTTCATTGGCCTCCTTAGAGGGTGATGCGAGTTCCGAACGGTTGGCCATCCATGACTTGATTTCAGAGTCGGAAAAAATAATTCCGCCGTCATCTTCCGATTTAGCAATATCATGCTCTGAGGATTGATGTCTCCTAGTGTCTGGAGATCTGTTAAGCGATCTGTATGGCGATCTATGTGGTGATCTGTGTGGTGATCTGTATGGAGACCTGCGTGGTGAGCTTCGTGGCGAACCATACGTTCGTGCGAACCTGCATGTAGGTGAACAGCTCTGTCAAGGGTTTGGAGTCTGTGCAGGTTCGTTATAAATGTCCGCATCTGAGGTAGATGACGATCTGCGTGGGTTTGGCGAACATCTTGTCCTTGAGTGTTCGCCGAACGTAGCTGGTGTAGGCTCTACTTAGGTAGGACTGCCAGACCTTCGTGCGGACGTTGTAGTCATGCTTGCGTGCAGGTTCGTGACGAATGTCTGCATCTGAGGTAGATGACGATCTGCGTGGGTTCGGCGAACGTCTTGTCCTAGAGGGTTCGCCGAACGTAACTGGTGTAGGCTCTACTTAGGTAGGACTGCCAGACCTTCGTGCGGACGTTGTAGTCATGCTTGCGTGCAGGGTCGTGACGAATGTCCGCATCTGAAGTAGATGGTGA